GGGCTAATACTTCTTCTGTCTCAAAGTGAAAAATTGTTCTTCAGTAACTGTCCCTGTTGCCTTGTAGAGCATGTGGGTGCAAAGAACCACAGACACATGTGGGTTGAAAGTGAAACGATGAATACTCAAAGAAACATACAGCTTTGCCATGAAGTTGCCCAGATGAAATGCCAAGGGAAATCTTCAGAGAATGCATCACAGCTGCATGTTCTGCTTTCTTGCTACTGCTGCTGTTTTACTCTTCTGTTCACAGTATGCTAGAAATTAAAGTCAGAATCAAAGACTCCCATCTGAAAAACCCACAGATTAAATAATCAGTCTCATAGCCTGTTCACAGTATGCCAGTTTTTGTTCTTATCTAAGATAGTAGAAGTTACCAGGCAAGGATTATCTCTAACATTTTCTTAAAAGAACAGGAAGAAAATGATCAGTGACCGTGTTACTACATAAACAATGTCTTTCTGAAAAGTTTATTGTAGAAAACCTCTAACAACAGTTCACCTGCAGTGGGGAGGAAAAGACCACAGGAGAGAGTATGATTATAACTTGTCCCTGAGCATCTTCTGCAGTGCCCACTCCAAGTAATAACAGGAGAAATAACCGGAGAAAGGATGTGCACCACTGTCCTCCATGTCTCCACAGGGGCTGCGTCCAGGCTCTGCTCTGCAAATCTGCTCTGGACACTTCCAAACATGGCTCAAAGTGGTCAGGCAAAGATCCCCTAAGCAAGTGCACATGTCCTTTAGGAAACATAACAATCAACTTCACAGACAGATCTACATGTAAACATGGCAGTTTGCCTGTGATAATTCACCCCTTTTCCTGCTGCATTACTTGGGCTGCATGGACTCCTCTGATTTTGAACTTCCCCTTTCCAAAACCATTTTGTTACAAAAGGTTACATTCCTACATGTGGTTTCATTAGCCTTCAGTGGCAAGAGAAATTCTGAAGAAGTCCCAGAAAAAAGAAATAGGAAAACACAATCACTCTCTGTCCTGGAGGAAAATGGAGGGGAAAAGAGTATCATAGCTGTTGATGGTACTTTTTGGAAAGGAAGATAGCAAGGTATTTTCTTATAACATAAATATAATGGGGCTTTAACCTCATAGTTACGCATATGCTGATTTGATTTAAGTTAAGGATATATAGAACACAGAATGAAACTGTGGGATTCATCCAGTTCTTAGAGGGGTAGTATTTCCAGAAAGAAATTATTCAAACCACTGTTCTTTCTGGATTTCTTATACTTTGCAAATGTATCTTTCTATTTGAGAACAAAAATGCAAATTTTACAGGGGTGTCAGATCTACCAGAGAAGGTGCATGCCTGATCTGAATGGTGGATGTCTACATGGAAACAGTTTTCCATAGTTACAGTTCAGCCATGGTTAGGGTCCATCAAGACCTACAGGGATGTATAGGTGTATGACTAGACATGACCTCAAATAAATCAGTTTACATGCCTATAAATACCAGGTACAGTACTAATGTATAGGAGATCCTAACACAGATTGTAATAAGCACTGTGTAAACAAGTAACAAAGCCAGTCTGTGCTTCAGAGAGCTTGCACAAATAAAAACAAGTTGTAGCAGATGAATGAAATAACCCAAATGATTCTTCTGTGTTCTGAAAAGATCAGAATAATGAAATGAATAGTTTAGTCAGAGTATCAGCCTACTGCTTGGGGATACGCTTTGTAGTTGATGTTGTGGCAACCACTCTTTTGAAAACAAAGCCTGTGAGTAATAGGCATCCTAAAACATTTATCCAGTACAAATGCATCTATGCATGCACACTCCGTTGCTTAACATAGGTCAAAATACATTGCTGACAGTGATTACAGGTTCAGAAATAACATTATATTCCTTTAACTTAATAGAACCATAAACATAATAAAATACAAGCTTTAAATGATCTTTTTTTTTTAGCTGGACCTGGTATTTTTCTGGTTTCACCTTAAAAATTCTTTATTATCTGCTGCTTTGTCATGAATTAAAATGTACCCTGCATGACTATTAAGGAGTGATTCACTTGAATTTTTCATACCCTATGGAGTATAAAGGATTTAGCACTGGAGTATATTTTACCCAGGTAACCATCATCTCTGAGGCTCAGCCAGAGGAGGGTGGATTTCCAGCAGGGGTTGTAAGTTTGCAACTGAAATCTGAATTATTGTGCAAACAAAAGGTTTCTTAGGGCCTGTTTTCTCTGTGCTGTCTTTGCTTCAAAAGTTGAGGTTGGGGCCCTTGGCTTTTGTGCTGAAAGCTTCTCTAATGTTCCCATTTGGAGCTTTCTGAGCTAAAAAATAACAGTTTCTTCTCCCTTTACAATTAAAAAAAAAAAAAAAAGAAAGAAAAAAGACCAGGAATGCTTAATAAAATTACATGTATTAAACGCTGTCATTTCTTTATATAAAAAACAGGAAGCATAATGGTCATCCTATAGGAGGCTAGATGAGGTTTCCTAGGTGATTTGAGACTGCCTGGGAGGTAAGGGAGGGTAAGGTATTTAATAAACATAAGTACTGATGCTATTGCTTGGACAAACTCTGTTTCTTACCAGGTGGCTCTGCATATCGCTATGGAAATAAGTTGCTATAGTGGGAGTCTTGTTTACTCTTCGGATGATTCTTCTCTCTGTGACTTGTAATTGCTAAGTGGTGGGATGCTTCACTCTAACACAGGAGAAGCACACAGGGCAAATGAAAGAATGACAGTAGGCAGAAAAATTCAGTTTATAATATTTTCATCTTGCAAAAAGCACATTTAAAGTCAGTATTTCCATGGTTGAATGGAAGCAAAGTAACATGATTTAATATTTTAGATTTCCTAAATTGAGGAAAAAACGGATAGGGTTTTGGTCTTCTTAGCATTATGTAAGAAAACTAATTATAGTATCTTGCTTAGCTTTATGGGAAAACTAACATGGATTCTGATCCTGATAAAAGAAGAAAAGGATCAGATTACTAGAACAGTAACTAAAGATAAACTACATAATGGTAAATAACTTATGCTTATTTTGAAATAAATATTTATGTGTTGCTTCTGGAGGACATTTATTTAAAAACTGCTGGCACAGAATGGGATGAGATGAAGGTAATGTGGTGTACTAATTGAAGGATAAGATGACAATGATGATGTAATTGTTAAAGTTACTGTGAATTTTAAACTCAAGCATTCAGAACAGAGAAATGACACCTAGTACTGTAATACTTTCCTAATGTAATGTAACGTCAGTCTTGTTTTAAACTTAAGCCTGACCCTGCTGACTCTGCTAGCACAGTCAATACTTTTAACCATGTTACCAGTACACATTCTGGGGGTTCAAAGTCATTATCATATGGCTTTGAAAAGTTTAGGCTATGTCTGTATGTATTTTAAGTCGTTCTTTGGGTGATTCTTCCCACATACACAGATAAGGTTCCTGTATTACAGTGGAGGAAGATATGTTTGAGTATTGTATGGATAGTTATTAGAAAATTAAACCTTGAGGAAAAAAAAAAAAAAAAAAAAGGAAGTAAAAATTCCTCAGGGAAAGACAGTAAAATGGCTGGTATGTAAGCTAGGAAGCCATTTGTCACTTGGAGAAATCCAAAGCAGGTGACGGAGTGGAGCCAATTAAAGGGTGTCTAGGCAGCTGGACGCATCTGCATCTGCAGGAGAAGGAGTTGACTCCAGCTGTGTGTGGATTGCAAACATAAATACAGACAGTTTGTTGAACAGAAGCAAAACTTTGACATCAACCATATGTGGGAATTCATGCAAATGATAAATTTGATCCCAGTTTTTTTTTTTTTTTCCCTTTGGACCTGGGAAGTTCTACTCTAAGACAAAGACCATGCTATTTTGTATTCAGCAGAAGTAAACTGGTGCAGTACAATTATTCTTAACAGAGGTTGAAATCAGCAGTTGACAGGGGTAGGTTGCAAATTGGGATCCCTTCTGGCGTGGTGACACTGGTAGTCCTGCAGCCCATCATCAACTTCCCATCACTAACCCATATTGACAACAGAGCGTCCTCTAGCTGTTGTCTAGCTGTCCCACACCCTCTTGTTGCCACCCCATTCCATGTTTTCCTTGCCTTTCCCATCCGTTTTGAGCATATTCTGAGCCATTGCCCATGGGGTGTCCAGAAAACGCTTGTATATGACGGGTTATTTTCATTGTGGAAGGTGAGAATTCACAAGCCTGTATAGCTGCATTGTGTAAACTTTCTGATAAAGATGGCTCTAAGATACCTATTTTAATCTTGCAATTATGATAATGTATTATAAAATATTTAAAAAATATAGCTGTCCTTATTGTGTTGGATAGATTTTGTAGGTCTTTAAGACTATACTTGTAATCTAATTAATGCCAGGCTAATAGCCAGATTGTTAGCTCAGTTCCTGTCATGGTTTTGGTATGTGCCAATTAGCACATTCCCCAGAAATGCTTGGATCCCATCCAGAGCTCAGCTTCTGCGGGGCACTGCTCCTGCGTGGCAGGACCATCTCCTTTCTTGGAAGACTGAGAAAGTTTATCTGTAGGGATACAAGCCAGACCAGGTTCCTTGGTCTCAAGGTCAGAGGACAAGCCTTGACTTCTGTTTGCTAGTGGTAGCCTAATATTTCTAATTTGGCTTCCAATGAAAAATATCAATGCCCACCTTTCGAGATAGAATAGCTCAGTATTGCCTCCATAGAGCAAGTACAGCAATGGGACAAGATCCATCTTTGAGGGACAAAATGAAGTATATATACTGTTATATAAAATAAGGTCTCCCTTCATGCAACCAAAGCTTAAGATGGGACTGTGCGAAGAATTAATGACAGAGAAAACATTCAGAGTACTATGGAGTAGCTGGGAGAAATACCTGTGGAAAGTATTCCCTGGCTGGGTCCATGTCACCACAGATGGGCAGCACTGCAGCTGAGAGGAGCGAGGTGAAAGAAAGAAGAGTAGCAGCAAAACAAGGGAAAATGATACCGCCTCTTTTGTCCTTTTGCCACTCTCTTCCAGTTCTGTGATTGATGTTTCTGCCGGGAAACCTGTAAATGAATGAAGCCATTTGTTGGACTGAGCAAATCAGCAACGATCAACAGCTGGACACAGTGGAACTGAAATGTAAGAAAGACTTCTTTGTGAATTGAACTTGCTTCTTTGCAAGTTTTTTCTTGATGCTGCCTGAAGTGATCCAATGAATCATGATGTTTGTCACCAAAGAAAATGTCAAGCCAATAACTAACCATAAAAAAAAAAATCTTTATTTTGTTTATTGAACGTACATAAGAGAGATTAATCCTGATGGGATAAGTGAGTTTTTGGCATGTGTGTTCAATTTAGAGGACTTGAATTAAGCCCTGTGCATATTTGTAGATTGAACTAGGAGGAAATACTAATCTGGTAATAAAATGTCTTATTCTAATATGTACACAACAGTCATAAGGTAGGTCTGGTGACAGAAAGTAAAAAGTTGAGATATGATTTAAAAACAAAGAAATGGGTTGTTGTGTTTACTGGATTTTGAACAGAAAATGGAAAATACACAAAGAATATTTTGAATAAATTTTAATTTGATGGAGAATGGCCAAATGTATTTCCACATTTGTGGCACTGCTAACTACTAAAGGTATCATTTGGCATTTAAAGTAAATGAGTGTATGAGTGCATCATAGAAGAGCATATCTATGCAAAACATTTTGATAATCAGCAATACTACATGAAGAAAATTATATGCATAACAACATAATTTGATTTTTGGTAACCCAATTACATTTTTAAAGTTAACGTAGTTCACTGAGAGCTCTGTAGTCTGCCTCTTCTCAAAAGGTTGTTCAAGTCATTATCATCACAATTTTTTGAGTAATAACAATAAAACATTTGTCTTCTACATACAAAGTGCTGGTGAAAATTGCTGTTGCTACCAAGTGTATATGGAAATGAGATTCATTTGGTTTTATGTGGTTATGCGCAAATATAAACAAAAATGTAGAACCATAAACATCTGCATTAACCTCTAGCTTGAAGGTCTCTCTCAGCCTGGAGGGAATGTTGGATAAAAGAAAGAAAATTGAAATTGAAATAAAATGTAATTTTTAAAATGTAATATAATTTTAGACACTACCAAAACCATGCAAATAAATTAATATCCATGTTAAAGCTCTCTCTAAGCTTTATAAGCAGAAGGACACCATAGACACATGGAAATGCTGCATAATGGATTAGTGCTGAGAAAATGAAGTCCATCTTTCAGATTTAAGTTGCTTCCCCTTAAAACAGGAACATGAAATGAGAATAATGAAAATAAAAATAAAGCATTAAATAGAGAACTCAAATTTAGGAAGATACAAGAAGAATCCTATTTTTTCTCCCAAAGAAACAATTTCATCTTCAAGAGAATGTAAATCCTACATTGTCAGCCTTGTTAGTTGTTCATATTGCCATCGTGCTTAAGAGTCCTGCTCCAAGAATCACTCAGCTCCTGGAGAGATTTTATTTCTGGGCATTCTTAAGATGAATAAATCATTGAGCATTGTATATAAAATCCACAGAATAAAAAGTCTGCCTTTTGAGTTATTATTATTATTTTTTTAATGTAACATTCTAGGCCTATTGAATTTATGAGCTTTTAAGGTAGCATGAAATGTTCTTTAATAAGCTGCAACACATTGTGACTCCTTGGTCCCTTTATATTACTTAACGGTCTTAGGTCTTGTTGCCATTAGGCTAAATTGAACAAACCCTTGGAAACTTACTTTGTTAACTGGGAGGAAAGGGGCAAATGTCATTCATTAAACATTAATTGTTTTTGCTTTTCATATCTCACTTTGCAGAATCTCTAAGGGGAACATACTGAGCACTAAATATGTTTTAATTAAAACAGAGAGAGAAAGCCATAATGTCAAGCTGAAAGAGAAGAGTTTTACTTAGTTCTTCAGAGTAACGGAGCTTTAAGACCATTTGCATTAGGAGGACCATTCTAACCCTGATATTCTTAGGGCTTTCAGCTGATCAGCAGTCAGTGTGTGTGAACTACTTGCACCATATTTAATGCCAGCTTGCTTGAAACAAGGGCCTTAGCATAAAAAAAACAAAAATACAGCAATGTCTACCAAACTTCAGAAGTTACCCTCTTTGCAGACAAAAGTGTCTTCCTTTTTTTCCCTCAGCCGATGAAATACCTGGGGCTTCCCAGACTGCTGGAGTGGCTTTAGCTCATCACAGATGGTAGAAAACACAGTGTTTGGTAGGAAATGAATGATAGAAAATAAATCTCTGCTTGTTCTTAATAATTGTTCATTCTTCAGAGGCCTTAATTTGGCAGTTCCCCAAGTCATTGGCTATTCCTTGAGAATGCTCCCCTGCTGTGCTGTGGGATGGGGTGGGGTGGGATATGATGAGATGGGTTGGAGTGGATTTTCTCATCCAGGGGCTCTGGATGCTGTTTGTCCTTCAGTTCCCTCAGATGACAGCTGCTTTCTACTGCTTACTGCTGTGAGGGGTCAACTTGTGATGTCCAGCTACATGTCCCGAGGTAAGCTGTCACACTGCCTATCAGAGCTGTCATTTATTTTGCCATGTTTCAGTACACTGATGAGACACTGCTAGAAAACTCGTGCAATAATCACTGCCTGAGTATTTAGGCATTGAGCCTCTAACACCTTTCCACTCCAGGAGACAGATGGATAGTCAAGTGCCAAATGTTAAAATGCATGTTTTTATTAGTGGCCATTTCCCTGAGAAATGTACAGTTTGCATTTTTTCTCAAGAAGTCCTGAGCCTGAGAATCAAGTTTAATGTTGTTTTTAATAGAAAGGTCAGTGGTGGCTGGCTGTATTTCAGAAATTCCTATGTGAAAAGATTCAGCTTGTCTCTCAACAGAACTGCTGACAAGCAATGATCCAAGCCCAAGAGAGGTCAAGTTCAGCTGCCCAGGGGATCACGATGGCTCAGACTGTAACAGGGATTTCTAAAAAAAAAAAAAAGTGCTGTGGCATTCTACAGACCAGCCAACCATGCCTGCTGTCTGAAGAAAGGGCTTTATTCAGCCTGAGATTTGGCACTGGATTTTCTCTAATACTCATTATTCTTCAGCTGCTCCTGAGCACCAGTCCCTGCACTGGTGCTCTAGCTCCTGATGCAGGCTTTGCTGTGGCCTGGCTCTCCCTCACCCTCTGCCCACCAGCAAATTTTGATTTGATTAGCTTTGATTTGGTTACAATTCACTCTGAATTCACTGTGATGCTGTTTATACCTTCCTGTTCCAAGCAAATGCCCTCAGCTCAAGCCATCACCTCGTCTTGTGGCAAATTTGTGTCACTGGAATCTGGGGATCTCCACGCAGGGGTGTTTTAACACTGAATCTCCTGGCACAATTTGTAAATTACAATACTCCTCCTTTAGAGGAGTATTTTTATTCTGCTTCTTGATTGCTTTCATTTAATAGAGGTCTTTTCCCAGCATTGCTTTTCATTTGGGGAATGGGCATCACATTCCCTCCCTCACCACAGAAGGCAGGTTTCAGACAGGTGAAATCTCCTCTGGAGAGGTCTCTGATATATTCTGCTCAGATTTATTCCACCAATCTCCCACCTTCCCTGCTGTTGCAATATCCTGTTTTGGATCCTAGGCAATAAAGGAGCTACATTAGTTTCAAACGTTTTATTCCCAGAAAGGTTCATATGAACACAAGGGCATGCAAGGTCAAGTCCTTGCGTGTGGTCCTGCCAGCAGCTGCTGGTTAAAGATGCCACACTCACATGGGGGGCGCAGAAACCCTGTGGGTGTTTAGAGAAAAGTCTTTCCAGAAGAAAATTGGTTCTTAGAGGGTAAGCAAGTGTGATTACGCTCATCTTTCTGTGGATTATTTTCTTTTCTCCCCTCTCATTTTCCCACCATTACAGTGATTTTCTTCCTCTGATTCTTTCTCCGATTTCGCTTCTGAATTTCCAATTTCTTTCCCTTGTCATGGAAAGCTATATGGCAGTGGATGATAAAGGTATTGTGCATTGAAAAGTAGCTGATACTGTATGCCAGCCAGGGAGATGTTCTGCAGCACTGGTTTGTCCTATTGGATTTGACCCAGGGACACTTGAGTCAATCAAGCAGCGCATTATCATTTCAAGCTCAGGGAGAGATACACTATTAATCTAAGTGAGCTGCAGTCAGACTTGACAGGAGGGGGACAAATCCCTAATCAATCTTTTAATCACCCACCTGGGGTGGTTTGAATGAAGTCAATTAAGGGATCTTTCATCAGCAGAAAAAGCTGTACTCAGCTAGTCGTAGAAACATACGTGAGATCTTCTTTGTGAAGATGTCTTTAGAATAAAACTAGGGGTATTTTTTTTTCTTCCCTCATTCATTTAATGGTCTGTTAGGGTATTTGTATAAAGTTTTGAAAGAGTATATTCAGAAATATGTAATTGGAAAAAAATATCTCATTCTCCAGAAGTGCTGTAATTGATTAAGAAAACACCAAGCAGTAAAGAAACAGGAATACCTAATATTTATTTTCATTGACCTGCTAGCTGTACACAACATCACAGTTAAATAATTTTGTGAAGTGTTAAAAGACTGCTTTTGCTATCCTAGATAATGAAGAAGTGTATGGTAAGAGAAGGTAAGGACATTTGGTAAGGACATTCATTCATCACTTGCTTTTTCCCTGTTGGCTTTTCTGATATATATCTTTACTAATATTTTGTATTTAATACTGAGCTAGTGAAGCACAGGATATCTATAGAAAGGAAAACTTGGTTGTCATTTCTAAACAGAGTTACTGTATTTTGACTTGTCAGGGTATGCATTGAAGTCCTGAGTGTAAGGTGATTCTTTCCCATTGAGTCTTGAGCTGTGTCATTTGCTTGTTGAGACTTCATGTTTACAGATCTGTGAACACATGACCTGTTGTGCAATTGATTTGATTTTGAAAAAAAGTAAGGCCACCGTGTTGTAACCTGTTTGTCATTCCTGTAGTCATGTTGATTTGAAGTACAAAAACAGCTTAATCTTAAATCTGCCTGATGGTCCTGCAGCGTGACCTGCAGCATGACCATGAAAATGTGATTAAAACTAAGAAAAATACCTTCTTAGGACATCCCTAATGGATCCTCTGTTAGTGAGGGAATCCAATTGCTGGGAAAAATTTCAGGATAAACTTGTGAAAACATCTCCTTTGCTGTGATTGCTGGACTTCTTATGGAGCCTCACTTTAAGAGCATTGTTGGGCAATCTGTTCTCTTCATTCTCTTTTGAAACGTGTCCTGGATGACACTGCTGTCCCCTCTGCACTGGGAGGGATCACATCTTTACACCAATTTTGTGACGGTGCTTTCTCTTCCCCAAGAGTCATTCTGGTGCTGCATTAGGGACTTAGTAGTCAAGGTTGAGTTGAGCTGACACTTAAAACATAAATTTTTATTTTTCTCGCTTCTTAGATTTTAAAATGAACAAACCTACCAGCTCCTGATAATGTTGTCTCCCACTCTTATCTCTGTAGATGTCTGAGATAAATTGCAAAAGAAACAGCCAAAACCTACTCGAGAGGGGCCTGACCCTACAAGAGGTACAGGATTACAGTGCTGTTTTCTGTAAGACACTTGGGCATGCTTTTGACATTGCCCTGTGTGGGCAGCTGAAACTTCCTTTTTTGTCTTTTATTGCAAAATAAAGCCCAGAACTGCAGGGATGGTTGGAAACCCGACCTGGACACTTGAAAACCATCAGTGCTGAAGCCAGTGGGTGTCATGCAGCCAGTTAGTGTCTGGCATCGCTGTGCATCCTTGGGTGCATAGCAAGGGATGGCATAAAGACAGCCAGGGAGCTGGTTGAACGCAGTGCCTGCTGTATGCACTGGCCCCAAGCTACTGACAGCCCAGAGCTACTGGGCTTTAAAAAAGGAACAGACCTCCTCTGGACTGTTGAACCCACACCCTTGCCTTTGTGGCAGTTGTTCTGGTTCAGATATTTCAGTTCTAAAATAAGAGGTGGATTTGCTGGTTGCTGCACCTGGCAGTGGGGCACTACCTGCTATTCCAGATACGGTTGTCCAGAAAGCCAGCATACAGGATTTGACCTTGTTTATGTTGAAACCATAGAAGAAAACAGACCACCATGAAGCACAGCTCTCTCAGAAAAATAAACATCACACCACAAAGTCCACAGGACTGCAAGGAGGAAAGGTCAATTAAGGCTTATAGAAGCAAAGTCCCTTTCCAGTTCTTCTGGCTTACCTGCTTCTACTCGCACAGGCGTTCATGTATGCAGGATTACTGGCCTGGAGGAGCCATGAAGCCACTGTGTCTCCTCTCTCAGGGCCATCTTCAGCACAAAGGCTCCCTGGGTGTCCCCAGGCTACTGGTGTGACCTTTGCTGTCCTTGCAGGGACATGCACGCCATACCTGGGATGGATCAGAGAAGTGGGCTCCTTTTGCTCTGCATTGCTGGGTGACATTCCCAGGCTGTGCTGTAGCAGCACAGTATTAAGCAGAGCAGCCTCAACCTACCTTTGATACTAGGCTCAGGTTAGGTCACAGCCGCACCCGGGAGTGTCTTACAGCACCTGGGACAGCCCATATGCCCTGGCATGTCTTTGCTTCCCACTGATCAGAGATCAGCTGTGTGCATGCCCTCTGTAATATCTGGGTCTCCAAGGGAAGGAGAGGGAGCCTGTGGACCAAAGGGGACCTGCATGACAGCTCAGTCCCTTTCCTTTACCTGGGGCACCAGGGCATGGGAGTCCAGATACAGCCTCCCTCCCTTGCTGTCTCCAGACTCAGGAAATATTGTCTTTTACCTTTTACAGGTGCAGTTCTTACAGTCAGAACCCAGACAGACAAAGCTGGATACCTGTATGATTCACACACATCTGTAGGATGTTGCTGCCCTCCATTTGTACAACGGCCCACATGGCAGCTGCCTTCGTACAGGTTGGAAGAGTCACTGGAGTGAACAAGTGCCCTGATTAAACTCTTCTTCTCTTCCAGTCCCCAGCAAATCTTTGAATCCTGAGGAGATGATAATTAATGCAGAACTTTAAATAGCTTTTCAGAGAAGCAATTCAGGTTGCATGTAGTAGACACAACTTTCATAAGTATATGGAAAACAGATTTACTCTTTAGAAGAAGGTTAAATTTCAGTCTTAATTACAAATGTCTCTTTTTTGTACAACAATTTTTAAATTATAACTCCCTGAAGAATAAATATTCCATAAGACTGGATAACAAGGCTAAGTCTAATTTATGCCATTTAGATGCAAATGATCATTCTGGTGTCTAAATGCCCAAAATCAAGTGGAAGGTAAGCAGACACTGAGGGCACAGAAAAGCAATATGGAAAATCTTATTTTTTGATTAAGGTACAAGTTTCAAGGGTTCAGATCCTCAAAGCCCTTTCTCATGCTAGTCCATTGACTTCACTACAATCCTCTCATGAGAGCCCATGTCAGTGGGGTCATTCCCATGAGAAGACTGTGTTTTGAATTAGTGTAGCTTTTCTATTCTTAAGCAACAAAAATCTGAGATGATATGTGCAGCTGAGTTTGGATTTTTTGGAAAGTAGAACTGCAGTAAATCATACAGTATAAAGGAAATCAGAAGATTAAATAAAGCAGCAAAATGTTTATTGGCAGCATGGAGTCTGCTTCAGAAGACTATTTTAGAAGTGTGGAGTAGATGTATACCACCTACCAGACAAGTTTTTAAAAGACTGAAAGGAAAACAAAATGCTGTCATGGTCAAATATCAAGGCAGTAGAAATCACTAAATGGCATTAAAGGCATCTTTTAAAAAGTGGAAGTCTTATCTGAACAAGGAAAAATAGAAGAGAGCATAACCTCTAGCAAGTTGAGTTTTGACCTCTAATCAAGAAGGGCAGTGAAGATTTAGAAAGGAAACCTAGTAAAATTATGAAGGCCTTGAATTATGAAGTATAAAATGAAAATTATGAAGTATAAAACCTTCCTCAAAAACATCAGGGCCGCAAGCTGACCAGAAAGTCAATAGGGCCAATATGTGATGAAGGTGTAGAAAAGCACTCCATGAAGGCAAGACCTTGCAGCAGAAATAAACGACGTATTTCTATTAGTGCTGGTCACAAAAGAGGTCACTGACTCCCAGTGGTGTCATTCATTGAAGGAGATGGATGTGAGAAAGTGATTGAAATGTCCACAGGAAGGGTTTGGAATATGTCAGTAAACTGAACCTAACCAGTTCCCAGGACCAGAACAAATACATGCAGGAGCTACAAGAGTATTCTGGTGCGAAATTGGAGAATAGGAACTGTCCCATTTGAGTTACTACATAAACAAACTTAATTAAAACACCATAAAAAAAAAGGGGGGGGGGGGGGGGGGGGGGGGGGAAAGGAGGGGGGTGGAGACACACACCAGTCTTTACATAGGTATTGAGGAATAATCAAAAAAACTATGGACTATTAAGTCTGCAATCCATACCAAACAGACCAGTAGAAGCTATTGTAATTGCTAGTTTTAAGGAAGCTCTTTCTATGGGTCTTGGTCTGTATCATTGGCCAGAGATGTCAAAACAGGGGTGTGATACCAAAGAAACAATGTCCCTAAGCACCGAGATGTAGGGACAGCCGGACTGAAGTTTCACAGCCCACAGGAAAGCCTTTATTGCAGGTATGATACACAATGAGGAAGAGCATGTAGGGCTGAAAGGCTTTCAGAGTTCTCTTTGTGTTCAAATACTTCATGAATGTGTACGTAAGAGCAAAATCCCAACACGCCTTGATCTCCATCCAGTGTGCAACCAGGTTTTGCTGGCAGGAGTCCCTTAGCAGCGAAGGGGCTGCCATTGGTGCAGTGTGAGCAGGGCAGGTAGAAGGTACAACACTGTAAAGATGCACTCTGAGGAAATCAGACTTTCAGGCTTTGAGAAAGACAAAAAAAAAAAAAAAAAAAAAAAAAAAAAAAAAAAAAAAGAGAGAGAGAGAGAAAGAAACCCCTCTTATGAAAGGACAGAAGTGTTTGGACAAAACAGAAGGTTATCTGTGGGGCATTGCGTGGCTTGTAACTATGCCATTTTAATACATTCATAAAGGATGGGGAAAGAAGAGGTGAATAATAGAATGGTTGATGGTAATGCAGATAAAAAAAGCAGAACAGTTTCTCAGAATGGTCTTTTCTTAAGTTAGATGTGAAGAGTTGCAGAATTTACTGATTAATAAAATGGCAAATAAAAATAAATGTCAATAATTATAGGGCAACACATACAAAGGAAAAAAAACAACCTCTAAATACAAACATACATAGTAAAGGATTTGGAGAGGGACTTTTTAACAGGGAGTGTAGTTATAGGACAAGGAGTAATGGTTTTAAACTAAAAGAGGGTAGATTTAGATTAGATGTTAGGAAGAAACTATTTACAGTGAGGGTGGAAGTGCCTTAACTACGAGGCACTGGAACAAACAAGAGTGCATGGCCACGCTGCAGTGTAAAACCATGATGTATCTGCATGTCAGCACTGTGGATGAGGCCCTAGGACTGCAGGCTGCCTCTGAGGAAAGGACTTATAAGTTTGATTTTGCATTTATGTCATTGGGGTTTTGTATTAAACAGTGCATATATGCAAATTTCTAACAGCTTTGTAAAATTTTTGGAGCTGATATGTCAAAAAAAGTCTGAGGCTCTGTCCTAGGAGCAATGCTGTATGCAGGGTCCTATGGTCAGCTTAATTGTAGGTGCTGCCATCCCTGGCCTCTATATCCCTACAGAGAGACAACCCCTGCTCTAAACTGAGAGCTCAGCTACGCACTCACCATGGTCAAGCCTTTTACTTGCAGTTGCTGCTGAGGCCTGAGGGTGTGTGTTTTGGGGGAAATCTTTCCTCAGGATGTGGCCTTCTGACTTCATCATGGGATTAAATTTTTTTCATTGCCTGTCGTGCCTTGGAGAAGGAGTGAGGAGAGGGCAATCCTTCTGGAGTGTGCTCATTTCCTCCTCCGTCAGGGTTACAGTCCGGAGGTGTCTGACCTCTGTCAAGGACAAGCTGGACTCTCAAGTCCAAGTTAGCAGTGACACTTGGGCTTTTCTCTCACAGACTGCCTGCAGCAAAAATGTGAGCACTTTTTATTCTGCTGTTGAGTGCATACCTTTCTCTCTGCCTCTATATAAATATAATGACCTCTGGAGCAAACATTTCTCTGATTACTGTTACACAGAATACAGACAAACTACACTAAGTCTTTGCTCCAAGTCCAATCTAATGTCAGAGTTTTTTTATTTTGATTAGATTATTTTACTTAATCTAAAGGGTTGACTGATTGCACTTAGTTTTTCTCTAAGTATCAATGGTAAACTCTTGCAAAGGAGCAGTAAATATAGAAATATTATCTGGCTAGTAGCCCAAATGGATTAGCTAGGTGAATGCAATAAAGTTGCCACAGTAAGGCAAAAGTGCTTTGTGGCTTCTTACACCGTGCTGCTTTGCCATTAGTGGTTTGTTGTCTGGTGCTGTGATTTGCACAGAGATGGAGGCTTAGTTAGGTTCTCCTGGGCAAAAACGTAGATTTAAAAAATTAAAAAGAACAATTATATTACAATTAAAGACAAACTACATGTATTTTCTCTACCAATAACAAACTAGACAGTTTCATCACTTGGTTTGTCCATCAATACTCTAAAATTGTTGCTTATATTAAGTTGAAGCAGGTTTGAATTTTGCAAGCCAGGGACTTTTGTTGAGCTCTTCATCTTCAAAAAGTGCCCTTGAGCTGAGCTCTCAGCTAATCTCTGTTGAAACTCAGCTTCAATTACATTTTGAGAGATTAGGAACTGTTTGTGATGCCTTTAGAAATGACAACATCAGGCTGCAGTGAGTGTGTAAGTGTGCTGTTCTCAAGTCTCCTGCTGTCTCCTCACCAATTGTTTTGTAGGCCTTGAATTTGTATAAGAGCTGCAGGAACACAGACCTTTGCCATCCCGCTGAAGTGAGCAGAGCTGCTCACAGGAGTAAGGACTGCACAGCCTGGCTTTGCAGCCCTGCAAAATGAGATTTGGGGATGACATATTTCCATTCATTAGGTCTATATTTATCAATATCACCTTCCTGTTAACTTGTAGGCAAGAATGCGTTCATTCTCCATAAAAATGCTAATAAATTCCTCTTGCATTCATTTAAGCATCAGTGAAATAACTTTATGTTCCACAGTGACACTTAACATTCCAGGGTAATTATTTTACTGTGGCGTATTTGCTATACTCTGAGCAATCAGGTTTGCCCTGTACTTGTCATTTGCTCAGCATTTTGCTATGCTGAATGAACAGGACGTCAGTGAGAAACTTGGGAACCTTCAGAGTGTTTAAAAGGTGGGGGAGCTTAAACTCACCTTTGTATCTTTTGGGATCTGCTTGTTCTAGCTTTTTGCCCTGGAGCACCCACATTCATACTTTATTTACAGATCTCGACAGGCTTTGCCTTGTCAAATATTTTGAATTCCCTAACGAGGTGTGTAATGTGTGTTATATAAGCTCTGCATCTTGCCTTACTAGGATGCCTTGCTGTTTTGTGCTGAAATGGATTTGCCTGTGCTCACTTTAATCATTTCACTTTTTACTGAGGGATGAAGAAATTTAACATTTAGCTTCTCCTCTTGCACCATGCCCTAACCAAAGGAAAAAAATGTCCCAAGCAATTGCCCTGCTTCAGATCATCAGTTTCATTGTCTGAGAAAAATATCAGATATTACTTTATTATTATTATTATTATTATTTCTTATTTTTATAGGAAATAGAGCAGTGGGGCCAGAAACTGTTCATTGGAAAATGGACTATGAGCAAATCAGGTCACATAAGCTGTCAGTCAGGCACTATATAACAGGAACTCTTTCACTTACTCTATTGAGAAGAAATGGAGGTCAGAAATGTGCAAACCTATAAGGTACTATTGAAAGAAAGAAACACAGCTCATTGGAGAGCGCTCACTTGTCCTGGATGAAATCTTCATTAATGCTGTGATGGACTAGATATACCATCTGAGCAATTTCTGTTTATGGACTTGATGTCCAATTCATGTTTTACGAGTTTTCTCCCAGGCGGAGCTGCTCTGGTTGGTTTATTAGTGTCTTGTCAGAAAAACAATTGAGAGGATATTAATCTGCAGCTCAAATACCATGTCAGTTGGCAGGCGGGGGCTTTGTGCCGTGGAATCCAGAATGTACTTGGCGGAAGAAATGCAAAGAAGCCTTTTATCAATGAGGAGGTCTTAAAGCCATAGATATCAACACTTCAGTCCCCTTTCTAAATATGATCTTAAAATAGTTTACAACAGACGCCATCTGTGAATGACACTTGGTTAAGCTCATGCTGTAGATAAATGTGTTAGAACAAAACTTTACTGTCATGGCAAATATGATTTAGAGAGGCAAATGAAGAGAAAGGTGACTCCTCTGGAAGCTGATGACAATGAAGCATTTTTTAGGAGTCCCACCCTCAGCATGGAACACATTGCTTGGTAGCAATACGCTGTGGGAGAACCCTGTTTTATTGGCATGCAAGAGTTATGGTGTTTTTGGCATGCAAAAAATCATAACTTTTGCATGTGATCATCAGAAGGATCTGTGTGAGCTCATTTCCTTTCACCACAGTGCGATAAAACAGCACGCTCAGGAAGCTGTGACGAGGATCTAAATCTGAGTATTATGGATGAGTGTGGTGGGGCCTTCATGTCTGCTGCCTCGGCTCTCGCTGCTGCAAGGAAACTCTGCTGCTGCTCCAGCAGCATGGGCCGTGCTTGGTGGAAGTGGTTCCACTTCCAGGAGCAGTTTCTGAATGCTCCATATTAAAATAAATAGTTCATGTTTCAGTCCATTTGCAGAAGCTGGCGTTGATGCAATTGCATTAAGGTTTGAACTAACAGTGCCACAAACCTTTTTCAACCACTTATGCCGGATAATGTAGGCATAAAAATAGTAAATAGGAGTTGCAGCGTGTCACATTCACTTTGTAGGTTCAGAGCTATGCTTGCTTCAAGGCAGGAGGCAACTAAGACAATAACTTCTTATCTAGAAAAAAAGAGCTACATGAGGTTTGAGATGATGGTCTTGCTGCCTGTGTGTGCTGCTGTCTCAGGTTG